CATTGCTCCTGTGATTAAGTATCTTCCTTTCCCTCCTCTTCCTCACTTCCTTTCTAACACAGCCAGATTTTTGCTTTTCTTTCAAGTGCCTCTTCCCACTCACTGAGCTGCTCTCTCTTTGTAACATTTTCCTATTGTCATCACATTTTGAATATACTTTTAAATCTGTTTATCCCTGAAGCCAATCATTCTGTGAGGCTCACACTTCTCTGTGGCTTCTATCTACTCTGTCTGTTTACTGTCTTCTATCTACTCGTTTCATTTATGAATGGTGATGGCAGCAGCCCCTGTCTGGAAGCTGGTCCCCACTCAGTGTCTTACCCACACAGCTCTGCCAAGTCTGTTTCCACATTTCACTCTGAATACTCCCTCGGCTGCCCCTCCATTCCTTTGCTATTACGGAGCTTCCCTCACTCTGTTTAGAATTTCCTTTTGCCTTTCTCTGTAGTTTAGTTCTGTATTAGTTTTCTATTGCTGCTAACACATTAGCTCATACAGAGTGACTGAAAACTACACAAACATGTTGTCTCTGCTTCTCTGCATCAGAAGTCCAGGTAGTCACTAACTGCATCCTCTGCTTGGAGTCTCCCCAGGTGCTAACAGGGCCATATTCTCTTCTGGAATTATGAGTCATTTTCCAAGCTCCCGATTCAGGAATGCCCTTCCTCCCGATTGTAGGGCTGAGATGTCCTGTTTTCTGGCTAACTGCCACAGTGTCTCTCAGCTCCTGAGACCACCCTCAGTTTCTAGCCACGTGGCACTTTCACAACTTGACAGCTCACATCTCCAAAGCCAGGGGGAGAATCTCTCTCTATACTGCTAAAATAAAATAAAATAAAATAAAATAAAATATAATTTTAATATAAAAATAAAACTTATATAATATTACCTAGTCAACGAGTGACAGCTCATGCTGTTCACAGGGCCTGCCCACTCAAAGGAAGGGGATTTACGAGGCATGTGCCACAGGAGGTGGGAATCCTTGGAGCCACCTCAGAGTTCAGCTTACCAGAGGACCCTACCCGTCGGTCAGTGTCCAGTTGACAATGTGTTCCTTTGTGAATGCTTCCCTTACCTTGTCCAGAAGTCTGAGTCATTTCTTTCCTTTCTTCATACAGCAGCTTATTTCTTTTGCCTTGCTCAGTCTGATGTATGTAAAATAAGCCTTTACAGTTTTTGGGGTTGCTGTAATCTGAACAGCACACTTTGTGTTTGGTCTATTCTGGAGAATGTTCCATGTGCACTTGAAAAGAATGTGTATTGTGTAGTTGTTGGGTTGAATGCTCTGTACACATCTATAAAGTCCAGTTGGTTGATTGTGTTGTTTAGTTCTTCTGTGTCTTTGTCAAGTTTCTTTCT